GAGCCGAGATGGTAACATCTTATCTCTTTTTTTTATTCCCCCCCAACATCTTATCTCTTAACAAATCTCTATTTTGTGGATTAACTACATTAATGTATAAGGGTGTCAGGCTAATTAGTTATCACTATATATATTTGCTTTAGAAAAAAGGAGGAAAGAAAGAAGAAAGAAAGGACAAAGGTAGGATGAAAAAAAGTCAGTCACAAATTGTAAGCCTAGGTTTGTCATCTGATGTTATGTACAAAGTTTTGTGTTAAGTGATGGAATTATCTTGGTTCACACTTTTGGTCACAAGCTTTCCTGGACCTCCATGGACATCTCTGATCTCCTTGACTGTTGAGCTTTCTTTGTTTTCTTTTTTCTTTTTTTTTTTTTGAGACAGAGTCTCACTTTGTCACCCTCAGTAGAGTGTCATGGCATCATAGCTCATAGCAACCTCAAACTCTTGGGCTCAAGCAATTCTCTTGCCTCAGCCTCCCGAGTAGCTGGGACGACAGGTGCCTGCCACAACGCCCAGGTATTGTTAGAGATGGGGTCTCACTCTTGCTGATGCTGGCTTACTCCAGCCTATGAGCTCAGGCAATCCACCCGCCTTGGCCTTCCAGGTGCTAGGATTACAGGCCTCCCAAGTGGTAGGAGCCACTGTACCTGGTCCTTCTTTTTCTTTTTTCAGACAGAGCCTTATTCTGTTGCCCAGGCTAGAGCGCCGTTGCATCATCACAGCTCATAGCAACCTCAAACTCCTGAGCTTAAGCAATCCTGCCTCAGCCTCCCAAGTAGCTAGGACTGCAGGCACCCGCCATGATGCCTGGATAGTTTTCTATTTTTAGTAGAGATGGGGCCACACTCTTGCTCAGGTTGGTCTCGAACTCCTGAGCTCAAGGGATCCTCTTGGCTCAACCTGTCAGAATGTTGAGATTATAGCCATGAGCACTGTGCTGGACCCTGTTGAGCTTTTCCTTTATCTGGGTGTACTTGTTCCGTCCCTTCCCTTTCCAGGTCACCAGCTCCAGTAAGGCCAGTCCCTGGCTTTTCCTTTCCTAATGTGATCCTTTTTCAGGGTTTTTTTTCAACCTTCCTCTTCTGTTTCAGGTTCCATCCTTTCCTCTGACTGCCTCGTCAGATCACCTCTGTGCTGCTTATGCCCCTCCTCCTGGATTGTGAGTGGAGCAGTTGTTTATACCTTGCCTTAGCTTGACTCAGCTGGAAACATGGAGGCTTAGACAAGCTTTGGGGACTGGCAGTTTAGTTTGGAGGAGGGAGCAGATGAGCAAGCGAATAGTGACAAAAGGAAAGAAGGCAGGCCAGTCTAAGAGTGAGTTACCAAGCTGGCTTCCACAGTGGGCAGCTGGGGCTAAGTCCTACTGGGTACTTTCTGGGGAAACTGTAGAATGTTCCTCAGAGTTGTCCATTTGAGACATGGTAGAGGGAATACCGTCCTTAAGCACTGGCTGTCACCCTCATTGGTGAAAGGGCACTCCAGAGCTGGAAATACTTCACTCTTCCAGGACTGTATTTCTGCCCAAAGGGTTTAGCAGGCTCTGGCAGACTTCCCATGACCCGTGGGAGCTGAGGAGCAAGATGTCCTTCGTGTAGCTGAGGTCAGGACTGTTGGGCCACACCTGCTGTGACAGGGATGGAAGGGATGGTGGCCTGAGGGGATGAAAGACTCAGGGCAAACCGTACCCTTCCACCTCTTCCCTTCCAGCATCAGGCCTGTTTTGTAGGAGGAATTTTTCTGCCCCGTTTTCCAGAAGTTTCTTGGTTATGTAGAGATGTCATTTTTGGTTCTTTGTCTTTCTTGGAGTCTTTGTGTACCTCTGATGGACAGGGGCCTGGTAGTCGTGGCTGGCTTAGATAGCTACCAGGAAAGACTTGGAGATCTCCATCTACTTGTGGGAACATTTCATGTTAGGGTTTCGGTAAATGCTGTTGTCTTTCTGTCCTTCCTTCCACGAGTATTTGTTGATGTGCCTGGTATTGTCTCGGGCATTGCCAGTAATAACAGACATCTAAATCATGGTTCTCAAAGTGTGTTCCCTGGGCCAGGAGGGTTCTAACATCCTGGAGACTGTTAGAAACGGTAATTTTTGGTTTTGACTGCAGGCCTTCTAAAACAGAAAGTCTAGCACTGGGTGGGGGGGGGTCTTGCAATCTCTGTGTTAATAAGCTCTTCAGGAGTTTCTTTTTCTTTTCTGTTTTGAGACAGTGTC